ATACTCCCTTACACTCGTGTTTTCATACTCCCTTACACTCGTGTTTTCATACTCCCTTACACTCGTGTTTTCATACTCCCTTACACTCATGTTTTAATACTCCCTTACACTCATGTTTTAATACTCCCTTACACTCGTGTTTTCATACTCCCTTACACTCGCGTTTTCATACTCCCTTACATTCGTGTTTTCATACTCCCTTACACTCGTGTTTTCATACTCCCTTACATTCGTGTTTTCATACTCCCTTACACTCGTGTTTTCATACTCCCTTACACTCATGTTTTAATACTCCCTTACACTCGTGTTTTCATACTCCCTTACACTCATGTTTTAATACACATATTGGCTTCTGTTGCTGAGGTATGACTTGAGGTAGTTGAGGGAGTGCCCTCTTATACCATAGTGTGACAATTTTACGTGGAGCAAGTCATGGTCAGCTGTATCAAAAGCTTTACGTAAGTCAATGAAGATCCCCAGTGGGACTTCTTTTTTCTCTATTGCAGTGTATATATGTTCTAGCATGTGTATAATAGCATCATTAGTATTTTATTAGGCCTGAATCCAAATTGGCAGGGGTTGAGTATGTTTTGGGAGATAAGGTAGGAGTAGATTCGTTTATGAATTAATTTTTCGAAGATTTTTGAGAGAGGGTGTAAGTTGGATATTGGCCTATAGTTATTCTACTCTGTTTGGTCTCCTCCTTTGTGGATCGGGGTGACCCTTGCTATTTTGAGTACTGTAGGGAAGGTGGAGGATTCAATGGATTTGTTAAAGAGTGTTGCAATGATTGGTGATAGCACTTGTGTCAGTTTTTTGTATATAAAGGGTGGTAAGGTATTTAAATGTCCTGCCTTGTTTTTTAGTGCGTTGATAATAAGGGAGACTTCGTATGGGTTAGTCGGAGCTAGGAACAGTGTGTTCGGGTAGTTGCCGGTGAGGTAGTCATTTGGTGGGGTATCTGAGCTTGGGATTTTATTGGCAAGGTTTTGTCCTATAGTGGAGAAGAAATCATTGAGTCTGTTTGCTGTTTCTGTTGGTGGGAGTTGGGGTTCATCTGATTTTGCTAATTTTATTTCGCTATTTCGTGATATCTTTTTTGTTCCCAGAATTTCTGATAGGGTTTTCCAGGTCTTTTTTATATCACCTCGTAAGTTGGATAATCTGTTCTCATAATACAATTTTTTTGCCCTTCTTATCAGGCTGGTTAGGATTGACGAGTAACGTTTTGTTTGGTCTCTGGTTATGTGACCCATTCTGTACTGTTTTTCATATTGGTGTTTTGTATTTATGGATTTGAGAATGCTGGGTGTTAGCCAGGGACTGTTCAGTCTCTTAGCTGTCATCTGTTTAGTTTTTTTAGGGCAGTGCTTGTTATAGAGGTATTGGGTCTTTTTTAGAAAATTATTAATACATTCGTCAATATCTGTATAGATTTCTAGCTCAGTGTGCCAATCAATGTTTGCTACTGCTGTTGTGAAGTTATTAATGGCTGCCTCATTGTGAAGTCTGAAGGTGACTTTAGTAGTGTCTTGGGGTAGTTTACCAAGAGTTGTTATGAGGAAAGTAGGGTAGTGGTCTGTGGTATTATCTGTAATTATGCCTGATTTTAAAGGGGATATGGTGTTGGTCCAGATGTGGTCAAGTAGGGAAACACTAGTCTCTGTAACTCTTGTAGGTTTTGTTACTGTTGGTAGTAACATACAGTTACTCATTGTGTTTGTGAATTCAGTAACGTGTGGGTCCTGGTCTTGCAGGAGATTTATACTGAAGTCACCTGAGAGTAGTAAGTGATCTTTGTTCATGCGTGCATCAGTTATCATACTTCCAAGGTTTTGACTAAATTGGCTAATGTTTGACTGTGGAACTCTGTAGATGTTTATCAATGTGAGAGGTTTTTGTAGGTATTTGGATTTGAATTTAGCTATTATATATTCCCCATGTTCATCCCTTGTGCAAGTATTAGTGATACATTCTAGTTGGTCTGAGTAGTATATGGCTGTGCCACCCCCTTGTTGGTCTGGCCTACAGTTGTGTATGGCTGTGTAACCAGGAATGGCATAGACATCTGTACTATAGTTAGTAATAGTTAGTAAAAGAAGAGTAGATGAGGAACTTAGCAGAAAGTAAAAAAAAAAATCACAGAAGAATGAGGGGAGCTATATAAGTATATTGGTCCAACTGCAGATTAACAGAAACTAGAGAGCATCCCCACAACAGAGTGAAACGATGAAACAAACGAAGAAACTGGGATAGGACAATATATCTCCATGGGTACTAAGATAAGGTGTAAAACCACTGCGTGGCCTACGACGATCTTCAACCATTGCTCGAGATGGGGCAGCTACCTGATAACTGGTAAAGTGATAATTTAGTTCCTAAATAAAAACGGGAACGGACAAGAGACTGATCATTGAACACATATTAGAGCAATATAAAATAAAAAGAAAATATTTGTGTACATGGAAGAGAGAGGCTTTGCCAGATAAAACAAGTCTGCAATGGATGGATTGCATCTTCCTGGACTTCAAGAAGCGTGATTAATAATAAGGGATAAGTCATATCATTAGTATTACAGTCAAAACTAGGCGCTAAACCCACAAGGGTCTTACAGACGGGATAAGTCATAGATATGAACGGGAGTAATAAGTGGGAATTTTTTTTTTGGTCCAAATATAAAGGAATTCACAACAGAGATCAAAGGTCTGCGTGTCTTTACTGATGATGTTAAATTATTAAGAGGGACAGGTACACTCTAGTGCACCGGCAGTGCTGAATGATCCATACAGGTTTATCTTTCTTTTTTTTTTTAATGATAATAATGAAACTCCAGGGAACAAGCCTATTGTGGTCCACTCGAACTTGTGCTCTTTACCCTATCATTCGAGTGCTTTGGTAACATGGGTCATACTCCCTTACACTCATGTTTTCCTACTCCCTTACACTCATGTTTTCCTACTCCCTTACACTCATGTTTTCCTACTCCCTTACACTCATGTTTTCCTACTCCCTTAAACTCATGTTTTCCTACTCCCTTACACTCATGTTTTCATACTCCCTTACACTCATGTTTTCCTACTCCCTTACACTCATGTTTTCCTACTCCCTTACACTCATGTTTTCCTACTCCCTTAAACTCATGTTTTCCTACTCCCTTAAACTCATGTTTTCCTACTCCCTTAAACTCATGTTTTCATAGTCCCTTATACTCGTGTTTTCATACTCCCTTACACTCGTGTTTTAATACTTTCTTACACTCGTGTTTTAATATTCCCTTACACTCGTGTTTTAATACTCCCTTACACTCGTGTTTTAATATTCCCTTACACTCGTGTTTTAATACTCCCTTACACTCGTGTTTTAATATTCCCTTACACTCGTGTTTTAATACTTTCTTACACTCGTGTTTTAATATTCCCTTACACTCGTGTTTTAATACTCCCTTACACTCGTGTTTTAATATTCCCTTACACTCGTGTTTTAATATTCCCTTACACTCGTGTTTTAATACTCCCTTATACTCGTGTTTTCATACTCCCTTACACTCGTGTTTTATTATTCCCTTACACTCGTGTTTTAATATTCCCTTACACTCGTGTTTTAATACTCCCTTACACTCGTGTTTTAATACTCCCTTACACTCGTGTTTTAATATTCCCTTACACTCGTGTTTTCATACTCCCTTACACTCATGTTTTAATACTCCCTTACATTCGTGTTTTCATACTCCCTTACTCTCATGTTTTCATACTCCCTTACACTCATGTTTTAATACTCCCTTACACTCGTGTTTTCATACTCCCTTACACTCGTGTTTTAATACTCCCTTACACTCATGTTTTAAAACTCCCTTACACTCATGTTTTAATACTCCCTTACATTCGTGTTTTCATACTCCGTTACATTCGTGTTTTCATACTCCCTTACACTCGTGTTTTCATACTCCCTTACATTCGTGTTTTCATACTCCCTTACACTCGTGTTTTCATACTCCCTTACACTCGTGTTTTAATGCTCCCTTACACTCGTGTTTTAATACTCCCTTACACTCGTGTTTTCATACTCCCTAACACTCGTGTTTTCATACTCCCTTACATTCGTGTTTTCATACTCCCTTACACTCGTGTTTTCATACTCCCTTACATTCGTGTTTTCATACTCCCTTACACTCGTGTTTTCATACTCCCTTACATTCGTGTTTTCATACTCCCTTACACTCGTGTTTTCATACTCCCTTACACTCGTGTTTTCATACTCCCTTACACTCGTGTTTTCATACTCCCTTACACTCGTGTTTTCATACTCCCTTACACTCGTGTTTTCATACTCCCTTACACTCGTGTTTTCATACTCCCTTACACTCGTGTTTTCATACTCCCTTACACTCGTGTTTTCATACTCCCTTACACTCGTGTTTTCATACTCCCTTACACTCGTGTTTTCATACTCCCTTACACTCGTGTTTTCATACTCCCTTACACGTGTTTTCATACTCCCTTACATTCGTGTTTTCATACTCCCTTACACTCGTGTTTTCATACTCCCTTACACTCGTGTTTTCATACTCCCTTACACTCATGTGTTTTCATACTCCCTTACACTCGTGTTTTCATACTCCCTTACACTCGTGTTTTCATACTCCCTTACACTCATGTGTTTGCCACAAACATAAATTTAAAAGCGTTGTGAGTTAAATATTCTTAAAACAAAGAATCCTAAAGGAGTTAAAACTTTTCCAGTTCAGAATAACACGTACACAATACCACGTTACCAAGGTATCTAAGTAGCAGAGGAACATGATTGATGATGTAATATGAACACTGTTTCGCCTAACCAAATTTCTGTTGTCTGAGCCGTTAAGTTTGTTTACTTTGTTTACGAGTTCGTTACAGTTCTTTAAATAATGACTATTATTGCCTATTATCATTATGTTGAAATAATCATGTTTTTTCAGTAGATGGAAACTTTATACTTAATATTACTTGACTGCACTGTTCTAGGTACTACCAGATGCGCCGCCAGATGCAATTGACCTCATCAAGAAATTCCTCATCTACAGTACCAATAAAAGAATATCAGCAAAGAAGGTACAGTAGTGGATTACTTCACAAAGTATTTATAATAGTGAACATTAATACATTCTAATATTACATACATTGTTAATATATCTACAATGTTGATAGACACTTGGGTTGATGATTTTGTGCTAGTCAAGCGTGTGTACGTACTCACCTATATGTGGTTGTGGGGGTCAGTTCACAGGTCCTGTGTTTGTGTATGTGTACTCACCTAGTTGTGGTTGCAGGGGTCGAGTTACAGCTCCTGGCCCCGCCTCTTCACTGGCCGCTACTAGGCCACTCTGCTCTATGAGCTTTATCATACCTCTTCTCAAAGTTATGTATGGATCCTGCCTCTACTACATCACTTCCCAGACTAGTGTGTGTGTGTGTGTGTGTGTGTGTGTGTGTGTGTGTGTGTGTGTATACTCAATTGTGGTTGCAGGGTCGAGACTCAGCTCCTGGCCCCGCCTCTTCACCGAGTGCTACTAGGTCCCCTCTCTCCCTGCTAAATGAGCTTTATCATACCTCATCTTAAAACTATGTATGGTTCCTTCCGTAGTAGGGAAACAAGTGTAGTCAAAGATAAGATAAAACCAATATTGCAAACTAGAAATACCACAGGAAATAGCAAACAAGAGGACTCCAAGGCAAACGGAAACCAAGCCTGTGCACATACTATGCACTTGGTATCTGCAGACATGGGAAATCTGGAAAATCAGACGGGACGTGCAACTATGACCACCCTAGAAAATCCCATGCCCATATGACAACAGGAAAATGCAAACTCCCTTCCTGTAAGCTTTTTCACCCTGAACTGTGTACCTCTTCAGTACAGGAAAGACTGTGCTATAACTTAAATTGCCAGGCACACCATCTAAAGGGGACAAAAAGATACAAAACATCCAGGCCATGGGAAAACCTGGGTAGCCACAGCCACTCAAGAGGGAGAGGTTTTTTAGTGCCAGGAAGGAAAAAAAACTGGCAGGAAATGGCAGAAATCGTACACCAAATCCAGTCATTCCTGGAGTGGAACCACAGTCGATGGCCTCCACTCCAAACCAACAGATACAGATACTAATGCCGGAAAAAAATCCTCCCCCAGTACCAACAATACCACCAGTCCGATAACATTCTTCTTTGCAAGTATACAAGGTCTAAAGCCAGCAACAAACAACAAAATACCTTTCATCCGTGGACTGCTTGCAGAGGCAAAGGCAATGTTCGCGGCTTTCACTGAGACCCACATAAAGGATCACTTGGACAACGAAATATGGATCCCAGGTTACAACCTATACAGATGTGACAGAGTGAACAGGCAAAAGGGGGGGGGGGGTTGGCCTGTACATTGCAGAGTCACTTGTTTGCACAGAACTGCTTAATGCCTCAAATGATGTAGTGGAAGTTTTAGCAGTAAAGGTCGAGAACCAAACCTAGTCATTGTGGTAGTCTACAAGCCTCCGGATGCAACATCCCAGCAATTCCAGGAACAGCTGTTAAAAATTGACCACTGTCTGGAAAATCTTCCAGCTCCTGCACCCAACATGTTGCTCCTGGGGGATTTCAACTTAAGGCACCTAAAATGGAGGAATATAGCAAATAATGTTGTTGCAGTAATAACACCAGGAGGAAGCTCTGATGGAAAACTCACACTCACACGAGCTTTCAAATCTCTGCACAAAATTCAATTTAAACCAGCAAATAATAGAGCCTACTAGACTGGAGAATACACTAGACCTCATCTTCACTAACAATGATGATCTGATAAGAAATGTCACATATCAAAAACAATATACTCAGATCACAACATAATTGAGGTTCAGACATGTATGCGTGGAGCCCCAGACCGACATAATGAGACTAGTCACGAGGGAGCATTCACCAAATTCAACTTCAATAACAAAAACATAAAGTGGGACCAAGTAAACCAAGTCCTAACCGATATAAGCTGGGAAGATATACTAAGCAACACAGACCCCAACTTATGCCTAGAACAGATTAACTTGGTGGCACTCGATGTATGCACAAGGCTTATTCCTCTAAGAAAAAGGAGGAGTAGATGTAAAATAGAAAGAGACAGGCGCTCCCTTTACAGGCGACGGAAAAGAATAACAGAGCGGCTAAAAGAGGTCAATATATCTGAAATGCGTAGGGAGACACTGGTCAGAGAAATAGCAAGCATCGAACTTAAGCTAAAGGAATCTTATGGGAGTCAGGAATCGCGGGAAGAACTAAAAGCCATAAATGAAAGCGAAAGAAACCCAAAGTATTTCTTCTCCTATGCCAAATCAAAGTCGAGAACAACGTCCAGTATTGGGCCCCTACTTAAACAAGATGGGTCCTACACAGATGACAGCAAGGAAATGAGTGAGCTACTCAAGTCCCAATATGACTCAGTTTTTAGCAAGCCGCTAACCAGACTAAGAGTCGAAGATCAAAATTAATTTTTTATAAGAGAGCCACAAAATTTGATTAACACAAGCCTGTTCGATGTTATCCTGATGCCAAATGACTTCGAACAGGCGATAAATGACTTGCCCATGCACTCTGCCCCAGGGCCAGACTCATGGAACTCCGTGTTCATCAAGAACTGCAAGAAGCCCCTATCACGAGCCTTTTCCATCCTATGGAGAGGGAGCATGGACACGGGGGTCGTCCCACAGTTACTAAAAACAACAGACATAGCCCCACTCCACAAAGGGGGCAGTAAAGCAACAGCAAAGAACTACAGACCGATAGCTCTAACATCCCATATCATAAAAATCTTTGAAAGGGTCCTAAGAAGCAAGATCACCACCCATCTAGAAACCCATCAGTTACACAACCCAGGGCAACATGGGTTTAGAACAGGTCCTAAATGCACTAGAAGACAAAAAGAATTCAGATGTAATATATACAGACTTTGCAAAAGCCTTCGACAAGTGTGACCATGGCGTAATGGCGCACAAAATGCGTGCTAAAGGAATAACAGGAAAAGTCGGTCGGTGGATCTATAATTTCCTATCCTAACAGAACACAGAGAGTAGTCGTCAACAGAATAAAGTCCGAGGCAGCTACGGTGAAAAGCTCTGTTCCACAAGGCACAGTACTCGCTCCCATCTTGTTCCTCATCCTCATATCCGACATAGACAAGGATGTCAGCCACAGCACCGTGTCTTCCTTTGCAGATGACACCCGAATCTGCATGACAGTGTCTTCCATTGCAGACACTGCAAGGCTCCAGGCGGACATCAACCAAATCTTTCAGTGGGCTGCAGAAAACAATATGAAGTTCAACGATGAGAAATTTCAATTACTCAGATATGGTAAACACGAGGAAATTAAATCTTCATCAGAATACAAAACAAATTCTGGCCACAAAATAGAGCGAAACACCAACGTCAAAGACCTGGGAGTGATCATGTCGGAGGATCTCACCTTCAAGGACCATAACATTGTATCAATCGCATCTGCTAGAAAAATGACAGGATGGATAATGAAAACCTTCAAAACTAGGGAGGCCAAGCCCATGATGACACTCTTCAGGTCATTTGTTCTATCTAGGCTGGAATATTGCTGCACACTAACAGCACCTTTCAAGGCAGTTGAAATTGCTGACCGAGAAAATGTACAGAGAACCTTCACGGCGCGCACAACGGAGATAAAACACCTCACTTACTGGGAGCACTTGAGGTTCCTAAACCTGTATTCCCTGGAACGCAGGCGGGAGAGATACATGATTATATACACATGGAAAATCCTAGAGGGACCAGTACCGAACTTGCACACGAAAATCATTCACTACGAAAGCAAAAGACTTGGCAGACGATGCACCATCCCCCCAATGAAAAGCAGGGATCATTAGCACGTTAAGAGACCATACAATAAGTGTCAGGGGCCCGAGACTGTTCAACTGCCTCCCAGCATACATAAGGGGGATTACCAACAGACCCCTGGCAGTCTTCAAGCTGGCACTGGACAAGCACCTAAAGTCGGTTCCTGACCAGCCGGGCTGTGGCTCGTACGTTGGTTTGCGTGCAGCCAGCAGCAACAGCCTGGTTGATCAGGCTCTGATCCACCAGGAGGCCTGGTCACAGACCGGGCCGCGGGGGCGTTGACCCCCGGAACTCTCTCCACGTAATCTCCAGGTAAACTACCTCACTTACTAGGCTGTTCCACTTCCTGACTACTCTATGACTGAAGAAATACCTCCTAACATCCCTTTGACACATTTGGGTCTTCAACTTCCAATTGTGACCCCTTGTTTCCGTGTCAGCTCTTTGGAACATCCTGTCTCTGTCCACTTTGTCTATTTCACGCAGTATTTTGTATGTCGTTATCATGTCTCCCCTAACCCTCCTATCCTCCAGTGTCGTCAGCCCGATTTCCCTTAACCTTTCTTCATAGGACATTCCCCTTAGCTCTGCAACTAACCTTGTCGCAAACCTTTGCACTTTCTCTAATTTCTTGACGTGCTTGACCAGGTGTGGGTTCCAAACAGGTGCTGCATACTCCAGTATGGGCCTGACGTACACTGTGTACAGTGTCTTGAACGATTCCTTACTAAAGTATCGGAACCCTGTTCTGAGTTTTGCCAGGCGCCCATATGCTGCAGCAGTTATCTGGTTGATGTGTGCTTCCGGAGACGTGCTCGGTGTTATGGTCACCCAGAGATCTTTCTCCTTGAGTGAGGTTTGCAGTCTTTGGCCACCTAGCCTATACTCCTTCTGCGGTCTTCTTTGCCTTTCCCCGATCTTCATGACTTTGCATTTAGCGGGATTAAATTCGAGAAGCCAGTTGCTGGACCAGGTGTCCAGCCTGTCCAAGTCTCTTTGAAGTCCTGCCTGGTCCTCATCTGATTTAATTCTCCTCATTAACTTGACATTTGCGAACAGGGACACTTCTGAGTCTAACCCTTCCATCATGTCATTCACATATACCAAAAATAGCACTGGTCCTAGGACCGACCCCTGTGGGACCCCGCTCGTCACAGGTGCCCACTGTGATACCTCATCACGTACCATGACTCGTTGTTGCCTCCCTGTCAGGTATTCTCTGATCCATTGCAGTGCCCTTCCTGTTATACGCGCCTGATCCTCTAGCTTCTGCACTAATCTCTTGTGAGGAACTGTGTCAAAGGCCTTCTTGCAGTCCAAGAAGATGCAATCAACCCACCCCTCTCTCTCGTGTACACTTCTGTTACTTTATCATAAAACTCCAGAAGGTTTGTGACACAAGATTTGAATTCCATAAATCTGTGCTCGTTGGCGTTTATATTCTTGTTCCGTTCCAGGTGCTCCACCACTCTCCTCCTGATAATCTTCTTCGTGACTTTTGACTGTGTGTGTGTGTGTGTGTGTGTGTGTGTGTGTGTGTGTGTGTGTGTGTGTGTGTGTGTGTGTGTGTGCGTGTGTACTCACCTGTTCGTGGTTGCAGGGGTCGATACTCAGCTCCTGGCCCTGCCTGTTCACTGATCGCTACTAGGTCCTGTCTTTCCCTGCTCCATGAGCTTTACCATACCTTGTCTTAAAGCTACATATGGTTTCTGCCTCCACTACATCACTTCCCAGATTATTCCACTTTCTAACAACTCTATGACTGAAGAAATTCTTCCTAACATCCCTTTGACTCATCTGAGTCTTCAGCTTCTAACTGTGACCCCTTGTTTCTGTGTCCCATCTCTGGAACATCCTGTCTCTGTCCACCTTATCTATTCCTCGCAGTATTTTGTATGTCGTTATCATGTCTCCCTTAACTCTCCTGTCCTCCAGTGTCGTCAGTCCGATTTCCTTTAACCTTTCTTTATAGGACATTTCCCTGAGCTCCGGAACGAACCTTGTTGCAAACCTTTGTGTACTCACCTAATTTTGGTTGCAGGGGTCGAGACACAGCTCCTGGCCCCGCCTCTTCACTGATCGCTACTAGGTCCTCTCTCTCTCTGCTTCCAGAGCTTTGTCATACCTCGTCTTAAAGCTATGTATGGTTCCTGCCTCCACTACATCACTTGTTAGGCTATTCCACTTTCTCACGACTCTATGACTGAAGAAATACTTCCTAACATCCCTATGACTCGTCTGAGTCTTCAGCTTCCAATTGTGACCCTTTGTTTCTGTGCCCCCTCTCTGGAACAATCTGTCTCTGTCTACCTTATCTATTCCACGCAGTATTTTGTATGTCGTTATCATGTCTCCCCTGACCCGCCTGTCCTCCAATGTCGTCAGTCCGATTTCCCTCAACCTTTCTTCGTAGGACATACCCCTGAGCTCTGGAACTAGCCTTGTTGCAAACCTTTGCACTTTCTCTAATTTGTTGACGTGTTTGACCAGGTGTGGGTTTCAAACTGGAGCTGCATACTCCAGGACGGGCCTGATGTACACAGTGTACAGTGTCTTGAACGATTCCTTGCTAAGGTATCGGAACACTATTCTCAGGTTTGCCAGGCGCCTGTATGCTGCAGCAGTTATCTGGTTGATGTGTGCCTCCGGAGACACGCTCGGTGTTACGGTCACTCAAAGATCTTTCTCCTTGAGTGAGGTTTGCAGTCCTTTGTCACCTTGCCTATACTCTGTCTGCAGTCTTCTTTGCCCTTCTCCGATCTTCATGACTTTGCACTTGGCAGGGTTGAATTCAAGAAGCCACTTGCTGGACCACGTGTCCAGAATGTCCAGGTCTCTTTGAAGTCCTGCCTGGTCCTCATCTGATTTAATTCTCCTCATTAACTTCACATCATCTGCGAACAGGGACACCTCTGAGTCTATCCTTTCCATTATGTCATTCACATATATCAGTTATAGCACTGGTCCTAGGACCGACCCCTGTGGGACCTCGCTCGTCACATGTGCCCACTGTGATACCTCGTCCCGTACCATGACTCGTTGTTGCCTCCCTGTCAGGTATTCTCTGATTCATTGCAGTGCCCTCCCTGTAATACGCGTCTGATCCTCTAGTTTCTGCACTAGTCTCTTGTGAGGAACTGTGTCGAAGGCATTCTTGCAGTCCAAGAAAATGCAATCAACCCACCCCTCTCTCGCGTGTCTCACTTCTGTAACTTTGCCCACTGTGATACCTCGTCCCGTACCATGACTCGTTGTTGCCTCCCTGTCAGGTATTCTCTGATTCATTGCAGTGCCCTCCCTGTAATACGCGTCTGATCCTCTAGTTTCTGCACTAGTCTCTTGTGAGGAACTGTGTCGAAGGCATTCTTGCAGTCCAAGAAAATGCAATCAACCCACCCCTCTCTCGCGTGTCTCACTTCTGTAACTTTGTCATAGAACTCCAGGTTTGTGACACAGGATTTGCCTTCCATGAATCCGTACTGGTTATCGTTTATAATCTTGTTCCGTTCCAGGTGCTCCACCACTCTCCTCCTGATAATCTTCTCCATGACTTTGCATACTATACTGGTCAGTGACACTGATCTGTAATTTAGTGCCTCTTTTCTGTCTCCTTTTTTTAAAAATGGGAACTACATTTGCGGTCTTCCATACCTCAGGTAGTTGCCCAGTTTCAAGGGATGTGTTGAAGATTATGGTTAATGGCACACACAGTACATCTGCTCCCTCCCTAATGACCCACGGGGAGGTGTTGTCCGGTCCCATTGCCTTTGAGGTGTGTGTGCGTGTGTACTCACCTATTTGTGGTTGCAGGGAGTCGATTCACAGCTTCTGGCCCTGTCTCTTCGCTAGTCGCTACTAATTATCTTCCTGCTTCATGAGCTTCATTGTATCTCTTCCTAAAGCTATGTATAAAGCCTGCCTTCACTTTAGCAATCTCCAGATTACTCCACTTCCTGACAACTCTGTGGCTGAAGAAATACTTCCTAACATCCCTGTGACTCATCTGAGTTTTTAACTTCTGGTTGTGTCCCCTTGTTGCTGTGTACCATCCACCCTGTCAATTCCTCTCAGTATTTTATATGTCGTTATCACGCCCCCGCCAATCCCTCCTGTCCTCCAGTGTCAGTCAGGTTGATTTCCCTTAACCTCTCCTTAGCACAGGCACTAGTTTTGTTGCAAACTTTTACACTTTCTCTAGTTTCTTGTCGTGCTTGACCAGGTGTGGGTTCCATGCTGGTACCGCATACTCCTTTGACTCCTAGCCTGTACTCTATCTGCGGTCTTCTTTCACTTTCTCCAATCTTCATAACTTTGCATTTGGTGGGGTTAAACTCCAGAAGCCATTTGCTGGACCAGGCTTGCCCCCTGTCCAGATCCCTTTGTAGTCCCACCTGATCCTCATCCACTTGAATTATTCGCATGGTCTGCAAACAGGGACCCATCAATCTGTCCCTTCCGTCATGTCATTCACATATACCAGAAACAGTACCTGCCCCAGGAGTGATCCTTGTGGAACCAACTTGTGCGTGTGTGTAAAACCATCCACAGGGAAAGATTAAATGGTATAATTCTAGGTTTTTCACACTGCAACCCGTGCCTGGTCAGGAGCTGTGCAGTACTGCACACTAATGTTGTGTATCTCTTACAATACATTATTATTACATTCATGGGTAAGCGATAAAGTTTTAGGGGTTATACAGTGCGGGGAGGGGAGGGGAGGGGAGGTGAGGTGAGGTGAGGTGAGGTGAGGTGAGGTGAGGTGAGGTGAGGGGAGGTATGCTTCATTCTTATCAGTTATTATTATCACTTTTCTGCCCTGTGAGTGTAAAATTTTTATATAATCTTCAACGATCCTACATAGCTTTTTGTTCACATTTTTGTCCATACAGGTATTTTATTTGTGTCTCTCTGAGATCAAATAAAACAATATATTTAGGCTAGGCAAAACATTTTGAACACAGTAACAGTAAGGTAAACTTTCACCAGGCTCTGCTTCACCAGTACTTCTTCACGGCACCCCTGGCTGCTCCATTGCACCAGATGCCAGTGCCGTTACTGGAGAAGAAGCAGCCACCAGCCACTCAGGAGTACATGACAGACTTCCCGCTTCACCACATCACTGATGCCATCCATAACCATTTGGACACACTCTACATGAAGGGATAACCATATCTTTTTTTAATATCCACAATGAAAATGTCGAACTTAAATCTGAATATCAATACCCTGTAGATATTTTTTTAACACAATGGTTGTCTTCCACTAAAGTTCAATACCTTTGTAACTTGCTCAGCTATCAAACTTTGGGGCCCAGTCCCTGGACCCATTATGTACCTCTGTAATCTTTTGACTACCGCCCACAGGATGGGTATGATGGGGTGCATAATAAAGATATTAAACTAACTTCCACCAATGCAGGGTTAGCCAGAATAGAGGAAATATAAAGTTTTTCTTCATTTTACTTTTAGTAATTTATTCTGGCATTTTAGTTGTCTGTTATGACATGCATGGCTTATGGAGGAAGGATTTTTTCTCCACTCCCTCATGGAGATAAATAATAGGTAGTAGGTTGGTAGACAGCAACCACCCAGGGAGGTACTACCGTCCTGCCAGGTGAATGTGAAACAGAAACCTGTAACCAGGATTGCTGGTGTCTTTTTTTCCGTCTCATTAACACGCTGGATAACAGGTATATCTTGCTACTTCTACTTACACTTAGGTCACATTGTACAGGCATGTACATGCATATATGTACATACACACACGTCGTATGAGGCGACTAAAATGCCGGGAGCAATGGGCTAGTAACTCCTCCTCCTGTATACATTTACTAAAAAAGAGAATAAGAAAAACTTCATAAAACTGGGGTGCTTGAATGTGCGTGGATGTAGTGCGGATGTTAAGAAAGACATGATTGTTAATGTTATGAATGAAAAGAAGTTGGATTCTCACATTGGTCTCCAGATGCTTTCAAGAGGAAGTATTACAAACCTGAGTTGTCAGTTAGCAGTTCGAGAACAGTAATATGAAAAAAAACTTCATTTGATCTTTATTGACACAAGTCAGTCCATCTATCATCATTCCATCATGCAGGAAGAGCCACATGTCTATGGTGCATCCAACAAGATAAGCAGACTCTTGGATGTCACTACTGCCCGGCTCCGGCTGGGTTACAAGTATCTTTGGCAGGTTAAATCACAACCACCAGATGTAGACAAAACGAAATGTAAACTTTGCCAGATGGACTTTTGTCACACCCTGCGATAAAATTAATGAATTTAGAGACAACTCACCCAGAAATGTTCCAGAAATGGCAAAGTATTTTATCCACAGTGGTATATTACAGACCATTCTGGAGAAATGCCCTGACTTTGTTCACTGTAAATAAAGCATTACCACGTGTGTGTGTGTGTGTGTGTGTGTGTGTGTGTGTGTGTGTGTGTGTGTGTGTGTGTGTGGTGTGTGTGTGTGTGTGTGTGTGTGTGTGTGTGTGTGTGTGTGTGTGTGCGTGTGCGTGTGCGCGTGCGCGTGCGTGCGTGTCTGTCTGTGCGTGCGCCCTCGTATGTGGGTGCGCGTACGCGCTCGTGCAGGTGTATAACTACTTAATATCTGTACGTATTTATAACTCAGTACAATTGTGACCGGGTGTGGCTCATTACTTTGTAATTTGTTCATGATTGTAACCATGTATAGGAGTGTTGATGGTTCATTACCTTTATAACTTGTCATGTGACCAGATTTACCTGGAGTTCATTGCCTTTGTAACTTGCTCAGCTATCATATTACCTCTGTAATCTTTTGACTACCGCCCACAGGATGGGTATGGGGTGTATAATAAACATGTTAAACTAACCTGGCCCTAAGCGAAACAAAGCTGAAGGGGATATAGTTTTGGAGTGGGGAGAAATAAATGGGGATTAAGTCAGGAGTATCTGAGAGAGTTAGAGCTAAGGAAAGGTCAGTAATAATGTTAAAGGATCAGTTATGGAAGTTTAAAAGGGAATATAAATGTGTAAATTCGAGGATTATGTGGATTAAAATAAGGGTCGGATGTGAAAAGTGGATCATAATAAGCGTATATGCACCTGGAGAAGAAAGGAGTGTAAACGAAAGAGATTTTGGGAGATGTTAAGCGAATGTATAGGAACTCTTGAACCAAGTGAGAGAATAATTGTGGTAGGGGACCTAAATGCTAAAGTAGGAGAAACATTTAGAGAGGGTGTGGTAGGTAAGTTTGGGGTGCCAGGTGTAAATAATACTGTATTTTAAGAAAAAAGAGGATAATTAAGTATACAAGATATGATGTAGGGCATAATGACAGTAGTATGTTGTAGCTACTGTGAGAGTAAAAGGTTGATGGAATACAAGGAAAACAGAAGCAGCAAGTAAGAGAGAGGTGAGATATAAACAGGGTAAGATATAAACAGCTATTGGAGGATAGATGGGCTAGTGAGAGCATAGGTAATAGGGTCGAAGATGTATGGGGTAGTTTTAAGAATGTAGTGTTAAAGTGTTTAGCAGAAGTTTGTGGTTACAGGAAAGTGGGTGCGGGAGGGAAGAAGAGTGATTGGTGGAATGATGATGTAAGAGAGTAGTAAGGGAGAAAAAGTTAGCATATGAGGAGTTTTTACAAAGTAGAAGTGATGCAAGGAGGGAAGAGTATATGGAGAGAAAAAGAGAGGTTAAGAGAGTGGTGAAGCAATGTAAAAAGAGAGCAAATGAGAGAGTGGGTGAGATGTTATCAACAAATTTTGTTGAAAATAAGAAAAAGTTTTGGAGTGAGATTAATAAGTTGAGGAAGCCTAGGAAACAAATGAATTTGACAGTTAAAAATAGGAGAGGAGAGTTATTAAATGGAGAGTTAGAGGTATTGGGAAGATGGAGGGAATGTTTTGAGGAATTGTTAAATGTTGATGAAGATAGGAAAGCTGTGATTTCGTGTATAGGGCAAGGAGGAATAACATCTTGTAGGAGTGAGGAAGAGCGAGTTGTGAGTTTGGGGGAAGTTCGTGAGGCAATGGGTAGAATGAAAGGGGGTAAGGCAGTTGGGATTGATGGGATAAAGATAGAAACATTAAAAGTAGGTGGGGATATAGTTTTGGAGTGGTTGGTGCTATTATTTAATAAATGTATGGAAGAGGGTACGGTACCTATGGATTGGCAGAGAGCATGCATAGTTCCTTTGTATAAAAGCAAAGGGGACAAAAGAGAGTTCAAAAATTATAGGGAAATAAGTCTGTTGAGTATACATGGTAAAATGTATGGTAGAGTCATTATTGAAAGAATTAAGAGAGACAGGGTAGGATAGCAGATGAACAAGGAGGCTTTAGGAAAGGTAGGGGGTGTGTAGACCAAGTGTTTACAGTGAAACATATAGATGAACAGCATTTAGATAAGGGTAAAGAGGTTTCTGTGGCATTTATGGATTTGGAAAAGGCGTATGACAGGGTGGATAGGGGGGCAATGTTGCACGTGTATGGAATAGGAGGTAGGTCACTGAAAAAAGTGAAGACTTTTGCAAGGATAGTGAGGCTCAGGTTAGAGTATGTAAAAGTAGGCCTTAGACAAGGATGTGTGATGTCACCCTGATCAATATGTTTATAGATGGGGTTGTAAGAGAAGTGAATGCTCAGGTGTTGGCAAGAGTTCGCATCGCTATTGGGCCGTGCGGACGTGCTGCGCAGTAGCTCCTGATTGAGTTGGCTTTTGTGCAGTGTTGACGTGTACTTAGCTCTGTGAAGACCTGTTTGCGCGCTCTCTATGAATTGAAGCAAGATGCCCTCCATCGAGCAACTTTACCAACAGCTTAAGGAAGAATTGAGGATAGCGAAGTTGGAGATTCGGCGACTGACCGAGGAAAACAAGAAGATTCGTAGTAGTCCTCCTGTTTTGAGTCCTCAGGTCAAGAAGGGAAACTGGTCAGTGGCTAGACAGCAGGGAACGAAGGTGACGATCAAGAAGACGAATGGAAAGATAGAAACGATGAAGAAGAAAGAGACTGCCGTGGAAACTGTTGTGGAAAATCTAATACATTCTCAGTGCTACCCGACGAATGTGAGTCGACTACTGGGAACATCACGACGAATGACACCAAGGAAGGTAAGAATATTGTTGTTGTTGGGGATAGCCAAGTTAGGTATATGGATAGGGCGTTCTGCTTGAAGGACAGGAGTAGGAGACAGAGAGTTTGCTTTCCTGGGGCTGGGATGGAGGACATTGTTAGCCGTCTGGATGACATCATGAGAGGTAATGGGAGCAATCCTATTATCTGTCTCAGTGCTGGAGGCAACGATGTTGGCAGATGTAGGCGTGAAGACCTGATTAGCAGGTATAGGTCAGCAATAGAAATAATTAGGAGTAAGGGTGGGAACCCTGTCATATGTGGTATTTTGCCAAGGAGAGGAGTTGGAAATGAATGGTTGTCCAGGGCAATTGGTGTCAATTGCTGGCTGGACAAATACTGTAAGGAAAATGCAGTAACATTCATTGACAACTGGGACCTCTTCTGTGGCAGAAATGACATGTATGCCAGGATGGGGTTCACTTATCTAGGTCTGGGGTGGTAGCACTGGCAACTGCAGTGGAGGGAGCAGTTAGGACTTTAAACTAGGAATAGTTAGTGGTATGGGTTTTGGCAGGAAAACAGTGAAGTCCCAGTGTAGTAATATTACGAGTTCTAGGGGAACTAGTAATAAGCAGAACGAGGTAGATATTGAAAAGCCAGGGACTTTGGGTGATAAGGACAGTAATAGGTTTAGTAGAAAAACAGAAATGAGCAAGAAGGGTAAAGAGAAAGGAGAGTCTTTCAATGTTTATTATGCTAATTGCCGTAGTGCTAGGAATAAGATGGACGAGTTGAGATTAGTTGCTAGTGCAGGTAACATTGATGTATTTGCCTTAACTGAGACGTGGTTTAATTCAAAAAGTTGGGACATGCCTGCGGAATGTCATATTCAGGTTTTTAAATTGTTCCAAGTAGATAGAAGTATCGGGAAGGGGGGTGGGGTGGCATTGTATGTCCGAGATCGCTTGAACTGTTGCATAAAAACGGGTATTAAGTCTGAAGTAACACATACAGAGTCTGTTTGGATAGAATTTTCAGAGGGGCATGAAAAACTGATTTTAGGAGTGATATACCGTCCCCCAAACTTAGATAGGGACCAAGGGAGACTACTATGGGAGGAAATTGTTAAGGCCACAAGGCACGATAATGTAGTAATTCTAGGAGACTTTAACTTTAGTCATATTGATTGGAATTTCTTGACTGGGAATTTAGAATCATACGACTTCTTAGAAGTAGTTCAGGATTGTTTTTTTTGAAGCAGTTTGTGACAGAACCTACAAGGGGAAATAACCTGCTTGACTTAATTATGGCAAACAATGAATCCCTTGTTAATAATTTAGAAATTTCAGAGGAACTGGGTGCTAGCGACCACAAATCAATTATGTTTAGCATTGAATGGAAGTACGATAGTAGCGATAACTCAGTAACAGTCCCAGATTTTCGCTTAGCAGATTACGATGGGCTTAGAGAACACTTATCATCTGTTGACTGGGGTAACGAAGTGAGATATCAATATGACAGTTTTCTGAACACTATACATGCTGCTCAAAGAACGTTTATCCCATATAAAGAAATTAGATCAAATAGAAATGACCCAAAATGGATGAATAATAGGCTCAAATATCTACTAGGGCATAAGAAAGGAATTTATAGGCGTATCAAAGGAGGCGAGGGTCATCATGAATCAGTATATTGACATTAAGAGGAACATTAAAAAGGGGATAAGAAAAGCTAAAAGGGACTGTGAAATTAAAGTTGCTAGGGATTCTAAAACTAACCCAAAAAGTTTTTTCCAGGTCTATAGAACAAAAGTTAGAGATAAGATAGGTCCCCTTAAAAATAACTATGGGCACCTTACTGACAAAGAGAATGAAATGTGCTTGATTTTTAATAATTATTTTCTCTCAGTTTTTACACAGGAAGACACTAACAATATTCCAGTAATAAATTTTTATAGTGGGCTAGAAGAAGATAAATTAATGTAACATCACAGTCACTAGTGAAATGGTTGTGAAGCAGATAGACAGACTGAAGCAAAATAATCGCCGGGTCCTGATGAGTTTTTTTCAAGGGTTCTTAAGGAATGCAAAATGGAACTCTGTGAACCATTAACTAATATTTTTAATTTATCTCTTCAAACAGGTGTAGTGTCTGATATGTGGAAGATGGCTAATGTAATTCCTATTTTTAAAACAGGGGACAAGTCGTTACCGTCAAATTACCGCCCAATAAGCCTGACCTCAATTGTAGGCAAATTACTAGAGTCAATTATAGCTGAGATTATAAGAAGCCATCTCGATGAGCATAGCTTGATTAATGATACTCAACATGGATTCACAAGAGGCCGGTCTTGTCTAACTAATTTATTAACTTTCTTCAGTAAAGCTTTTGAGGCTGTTGACCACAATAAAGAATTTGATATTATTTACTTAGATTTTAGTAAGGCTTTTGATAGAGTTCCGCACCATAGACTGTTAAAGAAAGTGGCAGCTCATGGCATTGGGGGAAAAGTGCTCTCGTGGATCGAGTCATGGCTCACTGACAGGAAGCAGAGAGTGTCCATAAATGGGGTTAAATCCGAGTGGGGATCTGTAACAAGTGGCGTTCCACAGGGATCAGTCTTGGGCCCGTTGTTGTTTATAATATATATCAATGATCTTGATGAGGGAATTACTGGTGATATGAGCAAATTCGCCGATGACACAAAGATAGGTAGGATAATTGATTCAAACGTAGATGTTATGGAACTTCAGGAGGATTTAAACAAACTCTATTCTTGGTCAGAAAAGTGGCAGATGCAGTTCAATGTAGATAAATGCAAGGTTCTGAAGCTTGGGAGTGCCCATAACCCTAGTACTTATAAGTTAAATGATGTAGAACTTAGCCATACAGATTGCGAAAAGGACTTGGGGGTTATGGTGAGCAGCAACCTTAAACCAAGACAGCAATGCCTAAGAGGCCTAAACTAACTAAGGTTGGAGGGAGGGGGTAAAGGAGGTTTTGTGTGGGAGGGGCTTGGACTTCCAGCAAGCATGCATGAGCGTATTTGATAGGAGTGAATGGAGACAAATGGTTTTTAATACCTGACGTGCTGTTGGAGTGTGAGCAACGTAACATTTATGAAGGGTTTCCTCTGAAACCAGCAGGCCAGACTTGAGTCCTGGAGATGGAAAGTAGAGTGTCTGCACTCTGAAGAATGGGCGTTACTGTTGCAGTTTTATAACTGTAGTGTAAAGCAGCGTTCTGGGAAGACAGTGATGGAGTGAATGATGAAAGCTTTTCTTTTTCATGCCACCCTGCTTTGGTGGGAATCGGCCGATGTGTTAATAATAAAAATTATTATAATCATAACTGTGGAGATAGATAGAAATATAATTAAATATAATGCTCTGGTAGAAAATAAAGAAGCAATAAGAGATAATATAAGAAATGTATAAAATGTGAAGAAAATACCTGATAGTTATGCTCCTTATTCACTATACAGCAGCATAAAAAGCCAGCATAAGCATGTTGGCAACATTGTTCCCTGACTCATTTCCTTATTTTTCTTCCAATTATTATAATCAAAAGTTCTAAACCCACAAGGGTTATGCAGTTTTTCCTCCAATGGAAAGCTTGTTTTTACACAGCTGCTTCAGCACTCCATGTATCATTATTATAATCAAACTAAGCACTAAACCCTCCAGGTCATACTATATGTATTTTTTGCATATTATTCCCTGTTATGGGGCTATAGGACCCAACATGTATTTATAAGTAACAGTTACTCTGGAATACCTAATTATATTGAATTGATGGGGACTCAGTTCTAAATGACTGAGAGGCAGCTGGGTCAAGCCTATTTTTCTCAATATAATAGGTTATACTATAGACACATAAACACACAATTTAAATAAGTAGTTTATAAAGTTGTATTTCTTTTTGTAAAAGTAAAATTAAGGGTGGTAGAATTGTGGTAACTGGAGAATTGTGCTTGGCAACAGTCTTTTGTTTTGGTGGGAGCTTAGCTAGTCTTTCTCTCTCTCCCTCTCTGACTCTCTCTGTGGCTGACCTTCAACCTGGCAGGATCTCTGGGTTCTTCTTCTATCTTTTGGGGCAGTATGTGTGCTCCAGGAGTGAGTTTTTATAATTTAAGTTGTGGCCACCATACCCAGGGTGACTATAGTGTCAAAACACTGGTTAGCCCAGAATTATGTCAAGAAGAGAGAAGGACAAAAGTTGTTGGAAAACACCATGTGGAGAACAGCTATGGAGTGTGTAGATCTTTGTTTTGAAAATGTGAGGCTGTAATTGTATATTCTGTACATATCCATTGAGAATAGTTATATTTTTATAGTAGTAGTTTACATAACCTGTGAAGAGGGCTGGTGAAAGGATATCAGAGACACTCAGGATGTAAGTATTACCCCTAGACAGATAAGGCCATTAAGTAAAAAGCTACCCCACACTAGAACATGTAGTGAGAACCTTACTGTCAAAGTAATAAGGGACAACCAACGTAACATTCCCTGATTCATTACATCTCATACAATCACTGAGCCAACACATTCACTATTCCTCTTGTCCCTTCTGTGATGGGATTGGCTATCCCGAGTGATGCCAATTCCCAATTATTATTATTGCAATCATAACTAAGCACTAAGCCTATAAGTCACACAGCACTGCAGCCAGTTCTCAAGTGATAGTGCTTCTGGGATGAAACCTTACAGTGTTTCAAAAGTGCTTTGAAGTAACCTTGGACACTCAGTTGACCCTGGGGAATCACTTCACTATCCTCCATTGCATATGCCTTATAGGTAAGGCTTGGGAGGGAGTGACTTCCAGGACTTTGAAATCTGCTTGGAGAAAACAGTGGCCAGATTATGTCCAAGAGAGGGATTTTGAAGGGTTTGAGACTGACCCTGATCCTGCCGACCCTGTGGACTATTGTGGTACTGGGGAAGTCCATGGGGTTGGAGGCGAGTGGTGAGGATGTGGAAGAGTTGGTGGAGGACCACAGGGAAGAGCTAACCACTGAAGAACTGCAAGAGAGGGATTTTGAAGGGTTTGAGACTGACCCTGACCCTGCCGACCCTGTGGACTATTGTGGTACTGGGGAAGTCCATGGGGTTGGAGGTGAGTGGCGAGGATGTGGAAGAGTTAGTGGAGGACCACGGGGAAGAGCTAACCAGTGAAGAGCTTAAACTCGAACAGCAACAGACTGCAGCTGAGGAACTTGCTTCAGAGGCGGAGGAAGAGGGAGTAAAGGAGGTGTCTTCTTCATTAAGAACATTTGTGCAGTGGAATGATGTGCAAAGTTTTGTCGAGAAGTACCACCCTGACAAAGGTGAAACATATTTACTGACAAAACCCTGTCCCACTTCAGGTAATCTTAGAAATGCCAGAAACAGAGCACTCTGGACAGTGACTCTCAAGCTGGTCCTAGTGGTATTAAAAGGGAAGTAACCCCAGAGAAGGCTTTGCTACCTAAAGTCTTTATGGAGGGGGGTTCCCCTTCCAAACACTAACTCCTCCCTACTACAGCATTAGCCTTCAATAAAGGCACGTAATATTTATATAATTATTAAAAAAAAATTTTTTTTTTGTGAATACAGTGGACCCCCGCTTAACGATCACCTCCAAATGCGACCAATTATGTAAGTGTATTTATGTAAGTGCGTTTGTACGTGTATGTTTGGGGGTCTGAAATGGACTAATCTACTTCACAATATTCCTTATGGGAAAAAATTCGGTCAGTATTGGCACCTGAACATACTACTGGAATGAAAAAAGTTCGTTAACCGGGGGTCCACTGTATTTTTGTTTGGAACGGATTAATTGTATTTACATTAATTCTTATGGGAAATATTTCAGTTTTCGGGTGACCTTCTGGAATGGATTATGGCCGATAACCGAGGTCTTACTAAATTTACAAAGAAACTCGTTTTTTTCTTTTTTGGCCACCCTGCCTCAGTGGGATACGGCCAGTTTAAAATAATAATCATAACTAAGTGGTAAACCCACAAGGGTCATACAGTGCTGCATCATATAGAATAAGATAGCAGAATATTAAACCTTCACCCATGTAATCAGTTCAGCCTTGCCCAACTCCAGTCATTACCTCACCATCGTGCCCTTCATCGCCACCATTTATGAACACTATTTCTTAACCACCCCTTCATCCACCATTTATGAAGTTCACCTTCAGTGACTACTACTGGATCCTGCCAAAATGGCCACCCAATGTCTCACCAGGTCACCTGACATACCCTAAGATGACTGAGCTTACATTGAGCGAAATGACCCAACCACCACAGCATTACCAATAGGAGCTATGTTAGAACACAGCCAAGAGTGAATTTCACAAATGGGGAAATATTCCCACAATGAAACTAAGAGAAATGGGTATTTAGATTGATTGGAGGAAGGGGACAGGAGGTTCAGTTCCTCAGATCGAATCCCTCTGCTGTGGCAAGGGTTACCCTTGTTATTGGTGTCAGTAGGACTGTGTTTGGGGATGATACTCTAAATGTGAACATGACAGAAAAGGTATTATTATTATTACTATTATTATAATCAGGAGAGAAGCACTAAACCTGTGGGATTATACATCGCATGTGGGGGGGATGATGTGAAAGGTATTCATGCTTACTTCAGGGAACTTCACCAGCATCAAGGAACCTTCCTTGAGGGTAGTATTAGTTAGTGCTGTCTATACCTTTAATATTCCATTTAAATATGTCTTGTATTTGGGCATATAATCAAAATAATTACATTTTGCACTTCAGTTAGCTTATAATATATAAAGATTCTTATGTATTGGAAAAATTACTCTTTATTAATAACCTAATATAAATAAGTATATTACAGTTACATTGGCCTGTAAAATATTTTTAAAATATATTTGAGCTACAGGAACACTTATTTCTCATGTAGTAAGACAAAAACAAAAACACACATTCAGCAATGTGAAATAATTAAAAAATGTCACCACTCAAAAATAATTATCTAAAAATTTTGGTTAGTGGTTTATTAGATATAATATACAGTAATCAGGAAAAATGTACAGTTGTCAAAAAAAGTAATGTTACAAATTTTACAGCTGTCCAGAAATATGTATGCTATCAAGATCACAGGTTTCAGACATGCCAAATATATAGTTTACAGACCAAATGTAAAAGTAACAGACAGGCCAAACTTATGGTTAAATTTAGACAGATCAAATGTTATCAGACAAACCAAATGTATAGCCATCCGATCAAATGCACAGCGTTCCTCATACACCTGCAGTTCACACATCAACCCATACCACTTACTTTACAATATCACAGTAAATTACAAAAAATAAGACTTTATATATATATATATATAAATTCTGTGGACATTTGTAACAAAATGAAACTCGAGTGACATAATTTTTCTAACTCCATTTTTTTTCTTTCCTCCATTCCCAACCTAAATGGGAGGTAGGAGGTGCACCAAGTCTCATTCATGACCATTTCAATTCTGTCATACGCAGTTTTGCAATATAGTGCCCTTCCTCATCTGCACTAAATATTTGCTACAAAAATGAGTATCAATAGTCTATATCTACATCTTTTATGAGAACACATGAAACTCCTCAAACATCAGCAAATATTCAATTTCATCAATAAAATGTACTGGAAACATCAGTACTGGTACTGAATATTAGCATCTTAGTGCATTTGCATACCTGCTCATTTAAGATAAATGGTTTTATTACATACGTATGAGATTCGTGCTGCTGTACTTCAAAAGTACGTTGAATGACAATCAGTAGGATCCTGAGCAACTTGAGACCTTTAGTTATTTTTTTTTATTTAAAAATAATGACGTAAATTTTTGTAGGATACAGAATCTGGGCATAATTAAATTAATTTAGAAGGAACATTTCAGTAGCAAATATGTATAGCCTATGTTTAAACTGTACATATGGTTGGTGCAGATGTGATGAACAAGTAGCACACAAAATATATCTGTAGGTACAGTATATCAGATGAGAAAGAATTGTGATGGATGAGCAGTACACACAATCTTTAAGATGGTGTGTCCAATTAAAGGTGTGCATAGATTTTCAAGAGTAGAAGGTGAGTACTGATGACTGGTTGCCACGGAGGAGGAGGAACGGCGGCATCTGGTGTGTAAGAGTCTCTAACCAAGCCATGTAGAGAGGTGCTGAAACTGTTCCCACTGCAGGTATGGGCAGGGTCCTGTTAACAATTCAAACACATTAGATTGTCACTCATATTTTATCTACTAATTCATCAAATGTATCTAGATATGAGCCTTTGTATGACCTTCATATCAAGGTAAAATCCATTTTCTTAAAAGGTTATTTTCTCAAATTTATACATACAAAAACATGCTGGGTTACCATTAAGACTATCAATAATATACTGTGTTTCCCAGTGATGGTAAATGGAGGAGGTAGGAAAGCAAGGTCTGGGGGTAGAATGTTACAACAATGCTTTCTCTTTCCTATACACAGCTATGTTCTAAGATAACTCATTCACTCAATGCACACCATCCAGGGACGAATTACCAGTACCATCCTGCCATGTGCATGTTAATGTTTTGCACTCTGACAGAATGGCTAGTCTTTACTGTGCCTAATGATTATATAAAATGCAGGGATAATCCTACACTTGCTTATCTTTATTATTCTGTTTCTTAATACTGCAACTCTTATTCCTTTCTCTTTAAAGCCTTCATTTTTTTTTCCGCCTACCCTCTCACCTATAAACTGCTATACAAATGCTTAAACCTAAAAATACTGTCCTCCAACTCACATGACAATAAAGGTGGCATTTCTCGAGTGTTCCAGCAGCAGCTCCCTCAAACGAATATGGCGATTGGTCTTGTCCTTCAGGGCTACCAACTCTGACTCTGTGATGCCCTCAGGGGTTTTAACTGAAGAAAGATCAAAGTGATAGATTAAGGAAATTGCAAAAGTTAAGGAATGGCAGAGGTATTCTGTTATCACTTGCTACTGTTTCCTCACAACAGGAATGCACATATTGCAAATATGGGAATGAATTTAAGAGAACTGAAGGATTCACCCTGTGACTAATGTAATCTACTCATAGTAATGTTCATAAAGTATGAAGCTTATACATCAACTACTAATGAGAAAGATCATCATTCTGCCAGTGTTTGCAAAATTAGGATTCAACTTACCTCCATCCTCTTCCTCTGGTGGCACCTTGAAACTGCTAATGAGGTTGTTGAAATCTCTTACTGATTCCTCCTTTGGACGCCGTGTTACATCAGGAACCATGACAACATCAGAGAAATCAATCCGGAACTTGCAGAGCAGCTCGATCATTCTGCGGTGCTCAGAAGCTAAATCATCCTGTAGAGGTTAAAGAAAAAAAAAATTATATTTATATGACAACTGGCTTCACAAATATTACGAACATTAAGTAATACTGTTACTATTAACAAATGCAATAATAGTTTGTAAGCAAGAAGAAAATAAGGATATGCTCTACAATAATTTAATCTGAAATTAGATTACTACAGTTTCCTCTACCTTGTTCACCCGTACTACTTTCATGGGTGGAGAGGTGCTTTCAAACAAAAGAAAGCAGAGGAAAAGATAAAGGCACCTTCTCTTTATATTACCTTCCACAAATTTAAGATAAAACTAAATAAAACAAAAAAACCTCATTACTTAAACTAGGAAAATCAACAGTTCACAATAATCCTGATATTGTACTTTACTATTAAATTTTTGGGTGTATTCTTGTGATATAAAATGAACTGGGCTTAACATATCCTGCTGAAATTGCTGGTTACTTACTTTTTTATTAGCTAGGCAGAATACCCTAAGTTTGCAGGAAGACCAGGATGCCCGAGTTGTAAGGATGTACGGGATCAACATTGTCAGACCTGGGAGGAAAAAAATTTTATGGTAACTTGTAAATTTGAAAAATGTCTGAAAGAAATTTACTGGAAACAAATGACCAATATTTATATCTTTGAAAATAGCTCACTGCAACTGTAACTTATCTTCATAATGGCTGGAGTAGCATACAAAAATTGGTTCTAGTCACAACATAACAAAGTTGTAATTTGTATTATTTACATGCCAAACAGTGTGTGTGTGAGTATGCATCTACATGTACTAGTTGCAGGGACTAATTTACAGCTCCTGGCCCCCACCTCTTTCTGCCACCTCACTCTCTAGTTTATTCCACTTCCTGATAACTAAGGTTTTACAAATGCTTCTTAAGGTCCCTGGGATTCATGCAAGTTTCAACTTCCAGCTGTGCCCTCTTGTTCCCATCTCCAAAACATTCTGTCCCTGTTTACCTTGTCAATTTCTCTCAGCATTTTGGATGTCATTATCATATCCTTCCTAGTCCTCCTGTGTCATTAAGCCGAGTTCCCTGCAACCCCCCTTTCCCAAACACGCACATACATACATGTACATATGTTGCAATGCTCACATTCTACAGGATCTTCAGGCAACTTAATGCTTTTTTGCATTCTCCTAATTACTCTTAGACTCTATCTCCCTATGCCTCTTATCTTCAGGTTTATACACCCACCTAATCAATCTATCATGCTTCATTTTTTCTTCATAACAAACCCACTTCAACAAATACTCTTCCAGTCTTTAAATTAAACCTTTCATACCACATAATTGATTCCTGGGATTTTATTTTTCTTCTTTCAACAAACTGGCTGTATCCCACCAAGGCAGGGTGGTCCAAAAAGAAAAATGAAAGAAGGGGTTACTAGCCCATTGATTTCATTTTTATCCTTGTATAAAAACAGGAAATATGTTAATATTTCTTGTCACTAATGATAAGTTGTCCTGATTTACACTGATAAGGGGCTATTTTTTTTCCCTAAGGTAATTTCTTTACAAATTAAAATCAAACCCTTCCTCCAACCACCCTGTTTCGTATTTCTTGCCAATTTCCTTTCAAACTTCTTTTCACAGATTCCCCAATGCATATACAACTTTCTCTCATCTATCCACGAATAAAATTATTATTGCAGTACTGTATTATTATTATTACTGTAGGGTTAGTTAGGGATTCTTGCTATTAGTAAGCAACTTACCACCATCATCATACAGCCACCACACGTCAATTGTTCCTTTGGGCTGTTTTCGTGTGAATCGGAGCATGGCATCTACTATCTGTGGTGCCACCACTTCACCATTGGCCAGACGGTATGTAGGGTCTTTTGTCTTCTTGCCCATCTTCAGGTTTTCCAGGAATGATGGATGGCTAGCTTCATCTGGCACTGCTGCAGCATTTGTATAACCTACAACAGCAGCTGTTTCAGAATAGAATTGTAATATTATGCTATAAATCTTCAATAAAACATACTGTCACAAATGTAATAAAATGTAAAATGTGAGCCATAGAATTTATGCAGACACTTTTGTTCAGAAAGGCAAGTTGTCTATGGTTTCAATGTAGCACAAATCAGAATCATATGCAAAAGTAATGCTCCAGTAGCATTAACAAGACATGAACCTGTTTCCATTAGAATTTTGTTGCTAGTGTAAATTCTTCTTAAAATGAGCTCTTGTTTAAAGATTTTCTTTACATTTAATATATACATATTATTTAAAAATATTCCAATTCAATACCTCACTAAGAGCACTAGTTAATTTTTTTATACAGTATATTGTAAATGAAATGAAGATGGGTGATAATTTCTAGCAGGTGTTGCATAAAAAACAGGATTCAGGTAGAATAACTTATTGTAATGTATTTTTTAACTTAATTTACAGTTACTATACCTTAAACTGATTAATGACTTTCTAAAAAAAATTATTCCACCTTCATCTTAAGAACCATTTTTATTACTATTATTTTTATTAGGGGGAAGCACTAAATCCATAGGGGTCAAACTGTGCATGGGGAATGGGAGGCAATCAGATTTGATCCAAGGAAGAAGACAGGCCTACTTTCTTGGACCAAGAACCCCTCACTTGCATCAAGACACCTCCCTGAGGTGTTGAATCATTATCATGACTGAAAAAGACAATCTTTAACACTGACCACTAATTTCGTTGTATGCATGCTAACTTTCTTGTATGCAGAAAAAACTACTTTAATCATGTCAAAATTATAAAGAAATCTTTATAATATATTGCTTCGCTACATATTACCATTATCAAGAACTAGAGAAAAAATCATAAGCGTAATGTGTAAACAAATGTGATATCTCTCATAGACTTCTGCAGAATGTAAGGGTACAATACTGTAACTTAGAAACATATGAACACATGCACATTATATGGGATCTTTATATACTGAGTACAGTATATGAATCTCGTCAGAAATCGATAGAGATTTATCTCACTTAGTTGGCCATATTACAGTATGCTATGTTATGCACTGAATACTGAAATTTAAAAGCCATTTATGCATTGAATCTGCAATTTACAAGCAAATTTAACTAGCATACAATTATAACATTTAAACTCTTGGTAAGTTTGGATTGAAACCAAGAAACCAATTATACAATACTTTGGATATACTGTAGCTACTAACACTTTCCATTGGCTCCTTTATCAAAGACTTATTCCAAACACTAAAGAACTCTTCTGGCATCCTACTTTTCTTTAGTCATCCTTTGTTAATAACCCTTTGACTGTCGCAGCTCCAAATCCTGAAGTGTCTACTAGTGTCGCAAAATTTTTGGAGTAAAAAAAACTATTTTTTCTTATGAAATGATAGAGAATCTTTTTCCGATGGTAATGACACCAAAAGTACGGCGATATATACGCACTGGCAATTTCGCCAACTTTCAGCCTTATTTTCAGCCAATTCCACTGTTCCAGCCAACCAAACTCATAGCTATTTCTTTAGAACTCCATTTTTCTATCAACTGAGTACAAGAAACCGCCCATTTACCGATTTCAACTACCCAATTGAGTGGTCAGAAATTAGAAATTTGGCCAATTTCATGCAAATTAAAAAAGATGCCAATTTCAAAATAGGGTCCAGAACAAACAATGCAGACATTCTCGGCACTAAAAATAACATCTTGTGTTCATTAGTCATATCTCCAGGCCCCTCTTATATTACTCTTCTTTTCTATTTTTATTTTTTGTTCACACAAAAAATAGAAGATTTACTGTTACGCAGACTACTGCATCATTGTAAAAATAGTATAAATAATATCAGTGCACTAGTGAAAGAATATTAGTCTCCTCAGTTGACGTGTAGTGTGATTAGCTTCCTCTTGAACATTGGTAAAAATTGAACATTTCTGCTACTTTGAGCTCAATTTCAAGGTCATTTTCATCGTGAAACTAATCAAAATCACCTCTCTTTCTGTATTATTTTTCCATTCTATCAAATGAAAGCAAGAAAACGAGAATACAACCATAAATGCTATACGAAAATACACCTCAAATTCGGTGTTTTAATCCAGAAACATGGGCGGAGTTTTTTTTTCTCATTATGCACTGCGTGCATAATGCATTTTTTTTATACATTGCACACTGACCACACAGACCCATTCTCTCACATATGGGCCTACCAGCTTTCTCCTGCTTGATTTGAAGCCGCTAGAATTTTTTTTTTTTTTTAACAAGTCTCCCACCAAGGCAGAGTGACCCAAAAAGAAAGAAAATCCCCAAAAAGAAAATACTTTCATCATCATTAAACACTTTGACCTCACTCACACATAATCACTGTTTTTGCAGGTGCTCAGAACACAACATATACGTATAAAGATACACGACATATCCCTCCAAACAGCTAATATCCCGAACCCCTCTTTTAGAGTGCATTTCCAGGACTCAAGTCCAGCTATATAAAAATAACCGGTTTCCCTAATTCCCTTCACTAAATATTACCCTGCTCACACTCCAACAGATCGTCAGGTCCCAAATACCATTCGTCTCCATTCACTCATATCGAACATGCTCATGCACGCCTGCTGGAAGTTCAAACCCCTCACCAACAAAACCTCCCTTACCACTTCCTTCCAACCTTTTCGTGGATGACCCCTACCCCGCCTTCCTTCCCTTACAGATTTAAATGCTCTCCATGTCATTCTACTTTGATCCATTCTCTCTAAATGACCAAATCACCTCAACAACCCCTCTTCAGCCCTGATACTTTTATTAACTCGAACTCTGAATTTTATGCATAATATTTACACCACACATTGCCCTTAGACAGGACATCTCCACTGTCTCCAACCACCTCCTCGCTGCTGCATTCACAACCCAAGCTTCACACCCATATAATAGTGTTGGTACTACTATACTTTCATACATTCCCTTCTTTGCCTCCATAGTTAACGCTTTTTGTCTCCACATATACCTCAACGCACCGCTCGCCTTCTTTCCCTCATCAATTCTACGATTAACCTCATCCTTCATAAATCCATCCACCGACACGTCAACTCCCAAGTATCTGAAAACATTCACTTCTTCCATACTCCTCCTCCCCAATTTGATATCCAATTTTTCTTTATCTAAATCATTTGATACCCTCATCACCTTACTCTTTTCTATGTTCACCTTCAACTCTCTACCTTTACACACACTCCCAAACTCATCCACTAAACTTTGCAATTTTTCTTTAGAATCTTCCATAAGCACAGTATCATCAGCAAAAACCAACTGTGTCAATTCACATTTTGTATTTAATTCCCCATAATTTAATCCCACCCCTCTCCTGAATACCCTAGCATTTACTTCTTTTACAACCCTTTACTTCATCATTCCACCAATCACTCCTCTTTCCTCCTTCACCCACCCTCCTATAACCACAAACTTCTGCCCCACATTCTAATACTGCATTTTTTAAAAATATTCCAACCCTCTTCAACCCTCCCACTACTCATACTTGCACCAACCCACCTTTCTGCCAATAGAATTATTGAGTATATATACGTCCGAAACACTGTCTCGTAAGACGTATGTATATGGCCGAAACAGTCAAAGTTAAAACGCCCATTGCAACTACATAAGAACTAGAAACCTACTCTTATTTAACTATCACTAACAAAAACTATGACACCTCCATGCAGGTCTGACACCTTCATGCAGGTCAAGAGGTAAAGTATTTGAAATATGACTGTACCTCGAGTCAACTTTTGAAACCCAAGAATAAGGGTTTTTGCAAGAGCTGGGGATATATAATGGTTTAAAGTATTAGCAACTATAATACACAAGAAATTCTATTTCAAGTATATCTATGCATGTCCCCATGTTATTTCATGAACATGCATTATAGAATTATTCATTTAAATAGCTAAAAAAATCATCTTGCACATCTTGCAATTTCTCCTGATTCAAGGAGAGTGGTCAATGCAGTGTGTATGGAATCTGTACCCGACATTCAGGTACCAAACATTCAGGTACAGATACATTCAGGCTGATGGCAATTCAAAGCTTGGAGATTAGGAGGTGTGGGGTTACTAAAAGTATTGTGATGAATGGTTTAGAAAACCGACAAGTATTGTCCAGAGGGCTGAGGAGGGTTTGTTGGGGTGGTTAGGACATTTAGACAGGAATGAGCAAGGTAGGGTAAGTGTAGCCCTAAAAAGGTTGGAGGGATGGGGGGGGGGGGTAATTATTATAATCAAAAGAAAATGCTAAACTGGAAGGAAGGGCTTGGACACCCACCAAACATGTGTGAGCATGTTAGACAGGAGTGGAGGCAAATGGTTTTCAGGGCTTGACATGTTGTTGGAGTGTGAGTAAAGCAACATTTTTCAAAGGGATTCAGGGAAACACCAGTTAGCCTGAAGGCAGTAAGTACACTGCCTGCACTCTGCAGGAGGAGGGTGGAGATATTTGTAGTTTGGAGGGGCATCTGAACTGTAGTATCACCACACCTCCAGCAAGACAAGTGATAGTGAATGATGGTCATCATACCTCAGTGGGAGATAGCCAATGTAAAAAAAAAAAATCTATTTCTGATTTGGACATACAATGCATTCAAGTTAATTTCAGTGTTATATTTTTCTTATATAACTCTAATTATGGGTTGTTTTGTGCAAACTTGCCCTCACTATATACAGACTATACAGACTGACTGTACTACTTACAAGGACCAGTAGAAACATCTACTTCATTTTGGTAGTGGCCAAAGCTGACTGTAGAGGTGGATGTAGGCAAAGTGGAGGGATCGGTATTGGATGCAGTGGCACCACCAGAGGAGGTAGGGTTGGTAGAACCATTATAGTTTGGGTCCTCTTCATCTTGCGACACCTCGGTCAGATGGGAGTAGTCAAGGCCACCCTCTACACACAAGATTCCTACAGCCAGATGCAATCCAAAAGCATGGCTGTGGGAACATGACATTTGCGAATGTTAGAATTACAATATAGTAAAGCCGGTAATTATTGGATTTTCCGAAGATAAAAGGCCTCCCTGTGAATATGATGATGATAATTTGCTGCATGTAATGTTTTTATTCAGTTTGAGAGTTCCTAATCAAAGTTTTCTCTGCTTTTATTGGCATTATATCATGTACTGGAGAGGATCACAAACAAATTAAAAATATGTACTTTGACAGTGAAGGTTCAATGGGGTAAGAGGAACTGCAAATTCAGCAACATCTAAATTTTGTATGAATAAAATATTTATTAGTACATGCAGAATAATCTTGCCACTCACTGAATAGTCTTGAAGTAACCTTGTAGTTCTTCAGCTGGGCATGTCTTCCAGGTTGACTTGTAGCCCATGAGGACCAAATTGGGTCGTAGTTTACCCAGACCAACATTACACATTAGCATCCTGGCAGCCATTTCCATGGAAGGGCCATCAGCAATAGAGTGGAAGGCCCTCACCTTGTGTCGAGACAACCAGTTTGTGGCTTCTACATAGTGTCTTGTCCGTACTCTCTGAGACTGCATTTCCTGAGATCAACGAGAAAGTTGTTAACTTTCTAATTACAGAATTTAATTGTTTTTGTATATGCATAGCTATTTAACTACAGTATTCATTTGTCTTTTCTATATGATCACGTGCAATTTTTAAAATTTTCATCTGCCTATCTCTCTTACTCTCTATGATTAAAAATATCTTACTTTAAAACATTGACCAGTGATAAGGAGGGACATGTTCTTTGTGATGGAGTTTGCAAAGTGGATGAGAGGTGGCCTGGCATAGGGTGCTCCAGTCAACACCAGGATCTGAGGCCGGAAAGTCTTGATATGCTCTTCCACTTGATTTAGAGATATGGTCGAGTTTAGTGCCATACTGTATATCTGTGCCTGTGTTGATGATCCCCAGTTAACATCTGGAAAGCAAAAAAGAATTTAAGACTCAAATAAACAATTATTGATAAATTCTTCTGGGTACTCTCAAACCTTGGCAAAATCTGCAATGTTGCCAAGAATTTCAAGTAGTGTTAATTTTAAAGGCTTAAAGGAGTGCCTGAATATTTTTGTATTATAATAAAATTAAATCAAGTATCCCTTGGATGCAAAAAAGATGAATATTAACATAAATTCAGCACATACCAGGGAGACAGCTATGGGGAAGACATGAAAATAGAAAAGCAAAAAATAATTTATGGAGAAAAGTATTTATTAAAAGAGCATTGTGCAATTAGTAAAAATTAAGCCAACCCCTAAGACGAATAAAAGAAGGAAATGAGGAAGAAGGGGGTAAGTAAAAAAAGTAAGATGAGATAAAAAAAAAAAAAAGAATGGAGAAAAAACAAGAGGACAATTAGAAAGAAATGAGTAAGAGGCAAATGAGGAAGAGAACTAGAAAATGTGAGTAGAAAGAGGCAAAGGGATGAAGAAAATGGCAGAAAAGGACGAGGAAAAAAACAAGTATGGCAGATACAAAATGAAAGAAGACAGCAAGAATGATAAAAAGAAAAAGGAAGAGAAAATTTGAAGAAAAAACAGGATGAGAAGAAAGGTAGACAAAAAAATATTGGCAACATAAAAAGAAAAGGAAGGGGGAAAAAAAGCACAAGAAAAAATTGGCAAAAAGGAATTTTAAAAAATAAGCAAGAGAAGGTTAAAGGAGACAAAAGGGACAACAATAATGAAAGGAAGGAAAATATAGAAGGGTGTAAAAAGAGTAGATAGGAAGTGATATTATATGTTAAAAAAAGGACAGAGGGCAGTGGGGAAAAAAGAAGGGCAAGATTACCTGGCTTCCTGTAGACGACTATGAAGTAGAGGAGAATGATGATGATGATGGTGATAAGTGCCGTGTACCACTGGATCATAAACATGATGGCTGTGCACAATATACCTCCCAGGAGACTTAGCCACTTGTTATAGTACTGCAACAAAAATATATATATTTAAGAATGCAATACAATAAATTAGTTCATATTACTATCACACAAGCACAAAAAATGCCCTAGCCTTAGCATATTAAAGGAAACAAAAGGCTCTCTGCAAGTCAGATACATTATCTGAATCCCTTTTCTAATGTTCAACTTTTGAAATAAATTTGGTCAGTGAGAGATGACATTTATTTATTTTTATGAGTTTTTTCATCAATGATTAATAAAAATATCCTAGATGGGATACGGCTGGCTTGTTGAAAGAAGATGCAGATAAATTTGTACCATGTACAAATTTTTTTGATAACTTAATATTTAGAGAACTTACTCTGTATATTTAAAATATAGCTTATCAAAAACAATTACATGTAATTTTGTGGAGTTTGTGGTGGACACTTACTGTGAAGGTGGGTCGCCAACTGGGAGTGTGCTGTAGGGATGCGTGGAAGGTGGAGAAGTTGATGAGGGCGTACGCAGCCAAGAAGAAATTGGTAATGATGGCTGCAATTGAATCAAGGCGAGCTGACAAAGAAAATGAGATACGACAAATGAAAAAAGTAGAAATTTAATATGGAAATTAAAGACAGATGAAATTTTACCAAATCATAAGCTTCCCGTTTAACCCTTAAACGGTCCAAACAAATCGTAGTGCTACAAAAGCAGATCTACTTTTTTTTACATATTTTAAAATACGTATAGCAAAAAAAAAAATGTAGATAAAAGTTTTTTTAAACGTTTTCAAATGTAAAACAAAAAAGAAGATCTACATTTTTTTACATACTTTCAGATGTTGAAAAAACGTATATATACGTTTGGACCATTTAAGGGTTAATATCAAACAGATGGCAGAGTACAGAGAAAAGTGAGCATAGAGGATTTTTTTTTTTTTTTTGCGTGAGAGTAGGCCCTCTTTTCATATCTTACTGGTTTGGAAAACAATGTTCTTCCTTACTTGGAACTTCATAATGAACTGTAATATAATATTTTATTTCCACTTTGTTGCCATATACAGTGGACCCCCGCATAACGATTACCTCCGAATGCGACCAATTATGTAAGTGTATTTATGTAAGTGCGTTTGTACGTGTATGTCTGGGGGTCTGAAATGGACTAATCTACTTCACAATATTCCTTATGGGAACAAATTCGGTCAGTACTGCCACCTGAACATACTTCCGGAGTGAAAAAATATCGTTAACCGGGGGTCCACTGTAATAGATTCCAATCATTATAACCAGAGTGCCTGCACTCTGAAGGAGGGGTGTTAATGTTGCAGTTTAAAAACTGTAGTGAATGATGGTGAAAGTTTTTCTTTTTCGGGCCACTCTCCCTTGGTGGGAATCGGCCAGTGTGATAATAAAAAAAAAACCTATTCTTCATTCAGTATTAATGTGGCTTTTTGGAATTATTTTTCAAGCTATCAATGTTTATTAATATATTAATCACTAATAATTTCGACAATAATTCAATAAATTAATTCCCTAGTCACGTGATGAACATACCAGTATATCATTCTCTACTGATGGCTTACTTTGCATAACCAAGTTGGTTAATGAATAAGGTACAGCATTAAGCAACTTGAATATAAAATTTCAAATTAAAACACTAAATATTTTCCTAATAATATGGAATGTTTACTGTGGATTATCAACCCTCTTTCCCTCCCCACAAACGAAGTCCCAGGCTTTCCCACAATGAATGTTCCCATCCTATTGTATCATGATGACCCAGGCACCCATACAATGGTAACCTACCAATGAGGGTGAAGATCAGCACAATGATGAATGTGAGGACATAGCCACGGTAAGGTTCATCACTTTTGCCATAGCCCTTGCCAAAGAACTCAATATATGGGTAAAGCTTGTCCTTACAGAGAGCCTGCAATGAGAAAAATATGTTAATAAAAATTAAAAAATAAAAATAAATATCAGATTGGAAGAAGAGACATGTCCTCAAATGGGTCTCTGAAAGATGAAGTGTACCACAGAAGGGATGGAAGGACACAATGATGTGCCCCAGGTTGAGTGAACCCTGCAAACTGGAAGCTGAAACATCTGTGGAGAAAAAAAAAGTATTTATAGAGACAACAAAGAAGAATGCACCCAGGAATACTGATACCAATCCTTTTATATAAGTGTGAGGTATGGCCTTTAAAAGTTGCAGCAAGGAGTTTGGACACAATGGAGATGTCACATTTAGGGAGGATGAATGAGAACAGGATGACCAAGAGGGTATGTATGTAAATTCATGGAGGAAGGCAAAAGATGGGAAGGCAAGAAAGAAGTTTTCAGTGGTAGAAGACTGCGCATACAATGGGCATGTGTGAGGATGTTAGATCATGGTATCTGGAGATGAGTGATTTTAGGAATTTGACATGCTGTTATAGTGAGCAAGGTAATACTTATGGAAAGATTCAGGGAAACTTGTTAGCCAAAGTCCTGGAATAGGGAGGGGTTGTTGGGGTAATTTGGAGGATGAATGAGAACAGGATGACCAAGTCCTGGGATAGGGAAGTTCAGCTTCTACATCCTGAAGAAGTGGGTCAGCCCTTTCATAATCTGATAATCTAAGAGTACTGAAACTTACAAATGCACTTAATTATACATATACAGTACTCACAATCATGGAAGTTAGGTACTGTGACAAATACATTAAGACTTTGTATAACTATTGTTTTTTATACAAACAAATATAATTATAAGATGAGAAACCAGGAATGCTTCTTTTTTTTAAGCTGGGGCCTCCTATGTATTTTCTATTTAAGTGGAGCTGTACATGTGTGCATCATTTGGTAATCATGATTACACATTACAGAGCCTGGCTAGTAGTTGGACAGATGACCATATGGGAATTAGCTCATCTTTGGCTATGGGCGGCACTCCAATAAGCTAATACATTACCTGGAAGACCTTGGGGGCAGAGACAATTGAGGCCAGAGCAGATGAGATCGTGGCAGCAAAGCAACCAGCGAAGATCAATGGGCCAAAGATAGACACCAGCTCCATCACCTGCAGGAGGCAAATTTATTTTCATTAACAGAAAATAAAAAGTAAATAAGAAAAAGAAAAAAAAAAGAGGGAGAAGAGATAAGAGTGTGAAAGGGAAGAGAATTTTCCAGGTCCTAAACTATGTCAATAAATAACACCAGACTTTGAAATGAGCATTTTGCTTTTAAAACAAATACAAGAAAATCATACCTCAATATGATTTAAATGCTCAATGTGATTGTAAACTGTGTGCCTAATACATGGTGAGTATACTAGTGACATACCTGAGAACTGTTGCTAAGGCCATATTCACACACTGTATCTGTACAGTTAGTGAAAGACCAGTCTGCTACCTGGGTGATGTTTCCTGTGGCATCCCTCACCTCAACTGCCCCAGACAGGAGTACAAGGATCATGTAGGAAAAGTAGGTGATAATGATGGCCAGAATTGTACCCTTGGGTATGGCTCCTGATGGGTCCTGTGGATAGGAAGGATATCAAGCTATAGAACTGTAGATACTATTTGGCAAGTTATTTTGTATACTGCAACAGTGTACAGGTATTAAAATTTCTAAATGAATCTTTTAAATCTCTTGGGCTTGAAAGCGCTAATGGAGAATTTATAAAACTAAACTAACACCGAAAATGATAAGACAACGGACATAACACTATCATTTATAAAAATTATGTTTTTAAAGATTTTAAAGCCTAACAACCTTGAGTTCTGGATAATATTTTTTTCAGTTAATGTATAATTAAACAGATAAGATTCGTGAAATTGTAATAGCACAATTGCAAACAAATCACATAATGTGCCTACAAGTTTTAGGGCTCACTTGCTTGAAACAGTTCAAATTCTATTATAAAAATTTGGTGTGTCATTTTACAGTCTCTCACAGAAAACATGATGCAAAACAATCAAATCAATCTCTTGTTAACTAGATGAGCCAGTCTGTGGTGTTACACTGGAAGGTAGCCAGCTAACACTAGCAGCTTGGCTGACCAAGGCCATAAACCATAAACAAGGTCAGAGATGACCCCTGGAATTATCTCCAGGGGTCCACTGTCTAGTCTTGAAAACTCTTATACACACCTTCAGGTCACCTGATATGTTGGCTCCAGCCAGGATACCAGTACAGGCTGGGAAGAAAACGCTGAAGACACTAAAGAAGCCCGTATTTCCTTCCTCTCCACTTTGTTTGCCCTCGTCACGATAGTCCGAAAAAAAATTTTCGTTGAATAATGTCCCTGCAGAGATGAATGAAGATTAAGGATCAATGACTACTATTGACTTCTGTGTCTTCTCTCCCTATTTAATTTCTTTGTAATCACCTATATGTTGCTGCAGAAATGAAGCTGTCTAGGACAATACCAAAATTATGTGCTAACTTTTTAACCGCCTTTTATATACAGCCTCTCCTCACTCATTTACCAACGACTTGGAGTTACAACGAGCTCTCTGACCCGTATGCATACCAAAGTAATGTATAACAGAGCTAATTTCCTCTATTCTGTTTATTACAATATACAGTACAATACATGTACTGTATTTTTTTTTTTTCAACAAGTCGGCCGTCTCCCACCGAGGCAGGGTGACTGTATGAACATTTTAAAACATACCAGAAATTTTATAAATGGTGCAACGGTGACACTAAAACAATGGTTGACACAAACCGACTACCATTATAGTATGCTCCTCACTTAGTGATGAATTCGTTTACCAACGTGGTCTTAGGAACAGAACTCCATTGTTAAGTGAAGAGAGGCTGTACTGTGCTAAACCTATATTCGTTTACCGACATGGTCTTAGGAACAGAACTCCGTTGTTAAGTGAAGAGAGGCTGTACTGTGCTAAACCTATATTTGTTTACCTTGATGTTTTCCTGGTAGATTTAATAGCTTGTGGTGGTGGAATTCATGGTGGTGTTGGTGGAAGTATTAACAAGTCGTATTAACAGTGTTGGAACGGGTACAAGCATTGACAAAATTGATGATGGTCATGTTAGATGTGATACAGGCTATGTGATGGCTTCGGTGATCATAATGGGAGCAATTGAGGTGATGATGAACCTGTTATCAACTGTGGTGGAATCGGTGGGCACTGGCCCAGATCATGACACCTAGTACTGGGAGAGCTCCCAATGACAATTAAGACAAGTACTAGTATGTAACTATGGGCTAGAGCCTGGGTAAGGCTCTAGCCCAAAGTTACATATTAGTTACATATTAGCCACTTACCGTTCAAACCAATAAAGCCCTGGGCAATCTCTTCTTCAGTAAGAGGTCCCACAAAGGCACCAATGATGAAGTCCAGGATGGCCACCAACAGTACGACTAGTAGGACTACCTGTGCCTGTACACACAAAGGTATAAGTGACAAAGTATATCAATATTTAATTTGGTCTATTATGCAAATAAAACTTGTATAGCTTTGATATCCCTGAAGTTCTGGCTTGGTTAATCTTAAAATTACAACATGTGGCTATCAAATTACATCAAACATGAGTTACATGCAAGGAGAGTATCAGTAATAATTTTTTAACATACCCTGGCTTCCCATTCCATGCCGATGACGCAGATTGCAAAGAGGACAACTAGTGTGATGCTGCCAATCACCCTCACATCATTAATACCACTGTCGAATATCTGCAAGCCCTGAGACCTCAGCAGGTCATTCATGGACTCACAGAAGCCGACTATGTACATGGCAGCTGCAATGGCATTTGCCAAGGAGAAGATCAAACCGATGGCCCCACCGAACTCAGGCCCCAGTGAGCGACTAATCATGTAGTAGGTGCCACCTGAAGAAGGGGTAACAATGTAACAACTAGTGGTACAGACATCATTTATGGGAAAACAGAGGCAGATGCTGGGAAGGGCAGCTACTTTGGCTGCATCACATTTACAATTATGCCATACACATTTAACTTTGAGTTAAGCTCAAGAATGACTCCATCATATTAAGCAAGACACACACACACACCACACACCACACACACACACACACACACACACACACACACACACACACACACACACACACATTCTCTCTCTCAGATTACACGAAAGCGTTCATCACATCCAAAAATCAAGTGTACGCTGCTATATAATTAGAGACTGAAATGCTGCATGAACAAACCTCCTTTGATCTGGCCATTGGTGGAAATGGCGGCCATGGACAGAGCGGTGATGGTGGTGACGATGTTACCACATGTCACGATCAGCATACCCTCCACTGCAATACAAATACTAGTGTGAAATAACTGAAAATACAAGTGGTCAATATCATATATATTCTGATGTGTATGCATGGAAAGCAGCATGTGTATACTGTACAATTAAATGGTATAGTATACCATTATATATCATACCATAATGTACATATCAATGAGAGGTCGCCTACAAGGAAGCGCTGAATGACCTTTTGGTTCAGCAATGTAAATTTCACAACCACCTTCTCCCAACCTATGAGGACCCATTTACTCTCAATGCTCTTGAACCACGGAACTGGAGTGAGTCCCCACTTCCTTGGATCAAACTTTGTTACTTTATGCACTTACTACCATCAGGGCATCAACTGAGAAAATTTATTCCCAAGGTCATCAAATAACTATTGAATCATATTGGCGAAAACATTTTTGCTGTACGGAGGCATAAACAATTGCAGTAACAAAGTCTCATTCATTCAGTGCAAGGAGAGGTGGAAGCTCGATCCTCCATCTGCTAATACTAAGAATGACATGACCCCCCCCCCCCTTCCCCAGGGTAGGCGTGAACAAAAATGATTTATTAGGGACAACTTTAAAGTTCGGAAAAAATACGAGGAGGAGGTACCAGCACTTTCCTCCCTCGGCTTCAGGACTAAATGTACTACCAACCTACTTCACAGAAATGTATAATAAATTGGAAACATTTCACCAGGTTGACTAGTTTTCATGCATTTTCAAGTTCTTTAAATACAACCATATTTCAGTTAGGCAATACAGCATTTTCTCAAATTATGATATACAAAAAACTAAAACAAATAAACGTAAAAGTGTACTTACAAATTCCGGCTTGGCCCACGACCCATGGAAGCCTAAGGAAGAGGATTACTCCCCAGATGTTGAGAAGGCATCGCACCAGAACTCCCTGCACCCAACCGAACTTGCCTTCTCCGCCAGTTTCTTCCTCTACAGTTCCCCTCGACGGTCCCACTCGCACCTGGTGGACAAACACTGCAGTAAGAATACTGGCATCACATGGAAGGAGGGGGATAATGGTGAATAAGATATGTGCACTACCTTGGTATCCTTATCCGAGAGATTTTGCCCACCAGGGTTTTTATCAGTATAATTAGCGTGGAATGGAAATATTTAAGTCGCGTAACAAATTCTGTGGGTCACAAACACTGCTCTAAACAGGAAGTCAAGCTATCTTCTGTAACAAGATTTCATGATAGTGTCGTGTCTGATTAGTACAATTAGATCAAAAGCATATAATACAGACAAGATGGTGAATAAGATATGTATGCAACGCATTGGTATTAGAAGTGGAAACTAGCCTGAGTTCAACACTGAAAATAGTATAAATTCTGAAACAGGATCAAAACACCTTAAGACGTACCGTAATACACACAATATATACAAGTAGTGTGTGGGTACAATGAAAGTCCTGAATAAAATAACCTGGGACAAAAATAAAGGAAAAATTATCAGACATTCCCGGAGAAACGATACTGAGCATGGGAACCCATTACAAGGGATGTCACACAGGGACCCCGGTTTTTTACGACCTACATAAAATCTATGTAAACGACATCACTGAGGGAATAAACAGTAACAAGTAAATTTACCGATGACGCTAAAATACACGAACAAATAACGTTGTGGTCGGAAAGGGGCAGCTGCAGTTCAGCACAGACAAGTGTAGGTTCTAGTCCTAGGAAAAGAAAATAGCTAAGACACAAGCTAGCATGCCAATCGTTACACGAACCCTTACCTAATAAAAATACGAAAACATAATCGAAGTATTAATACTTAAAATCGTCACCAGGGGACTACATCCAATTACAACAATATCCCTTATTTTAAGAACCTACCCGTATAAAACCCTAGAAACTCAATTTATGATGTAATTTTCCAACACCGATTTCTTAGCACTTCCTGTAAATTTGTAAATTATATTTTCCTGATTTTAGGTCTGGTTACATAAACGACAAATAAGTAAATTATAAAAACTAGCATGAACACTTGGCAGCGAGGGGGCCCTAAAAAAAAAAAAAACAGGAAATTCATATCTGAACGTTTATCACACAAGGCGTCATATGAGAATAGTGGACCGGTAAGCCATAGAAGCCAGATGACCAAAAGCTCCAACTGCGAATCATCATATGACTGAGATCCGCATCAGGTAACATTTGTGGTTTCCTGACAAACCTACACAAGGTGCGAGAATGATTTTGAGTAGGTATTGTAAACTTTTCATAGTGATACCTGCTACGATGTAACAGCCAGGCACAACTACTACTAGTATCCAACCTTTCAGTCACCTCTCCCCTATTTACGTTCTTTTCCCAACCGTCTCGTTCCCTGTCCTTCAAGCACGGGAAGGTCGATGAAGGTCAGGAACACTTGACACAGAAAACAGACACTCATCAGATGGAGCAAGGTGGTTTCCTGACAAACCTACACAAGGTGCGAGAATGATTTTGAGTAGGTATTGTAAACTTTTCATAGTGATACCTGCTACGATGTAACAGCCAGGCACAACTACTACTAGTATCCAACCTTTCAGTCACCTCTCCCCTATTTACGTTCTTTTCCCAACCGTCTCGTTCCCTGTCCTTCAAGCACGGGAAGGTCGATGAAGGTCAGGAACACTTGACACAGAAAACAGACACTCATCAGATGGAGCAAGGTGGAGCCAAATCCACTTCACTTCTAGTTCTTTCATGCGATAATATGTACAAACAAATAAAGAATCCGGATTCACATATAATAAGTCTCTTATGCTCGCTCCTTCTCCAACCCTAATAGAACAGATCAAGAACCAGAGGCTGCATCCTTGTTTCCAGTAGCATACAGCAGCTACCCGGGGAGGTAATACCCGCCTGTCATAGGAGTGAAATTAAAATATGGTAAATACCTCTGGAAGGATTGCTGATTTTTTGTCACACGATTGATATGCAAAACTCTTCATGGGAAAACTCCTGTTTTCATGAGGAAAACAGAAGTGGGCCATAAAAGGAAAATAGGAGAGGGTCATATAAAGATAATAGAAGAGGGACATACGGGAAAAATTAGAAAGGAAGGAGCGGCAATTTATGATAATGGATATCCTGGATATTACAGATATCCGGAGGTTTAAAGAGTAATTTCCTGTGTGTCACAATATCTTACAACATAATATGTAACCTAATGAAGAATGAAATCTCCATTACCGTCGACAGAACACTTAATAAATAATCCATTTTTGGGAATAAACGCTAGACAACGTTTCGAAAGTGTGGGTTATTTATAAGTATGTCAGCTATTGTATGTGAACGTTCACAGATGGATTAAAATCGTCCCTACATGCTCACATTTCTGTGGACACTATAATAATCTGTCGAAATGTGACATTTTTGTTGATATAATATCTGACAAAACACCCTTTTACAAGACGGGCCAAGAGCTACGTATCGACCCCTGCACCCACAGGTAGGCGAGCGCACATACAAATAGGTAAGAAACACACACACGACCCCTGCACTCACACACACACACACAAATAGGTGAGTACACATACACACACGACCCCTGCACTCACACACACACACACAAATAGGTGAGTACACATACACACACGACCCCTGCAACCACAAACAGGCGAGTACAAACGCACGTCATCAGTAATCTCATTACAAACCTTAGCTCAGACTGAATGATACTACTTCATAGAACTGAACAAGTGGTGCGTGCTCACAATCAATTACCGATGACACATTCAAAGCACACACCACCAGCATTATTTATCGTTCCAGATATCGTGAGAACTGTTGTACTTGTGCAAATATGGAACTTTGTCTTTTAGAAAACATACCTCTTATGAAGATATGGATTAATCATCAATTCCAATGAATACTTATATTTGTGTGCGCTATAGTTTTAGTATCCATTTAAGCAATTATAGGTTTTGATTACCATTATCATAATTATGATGATTAATGGATCATTATTATTAGTGACCATAATCAGATATTGATTACTACTAGTATGAATTTCGATTCTAAATCAGGTATTGATGCCATTAAGCATAAAGCTTGCTGGTAAGGGCGGTAATCACCCAGAAGCAATTCACTGTTATCGATCCCAGTGTAATATTAACTTGTAGCTGTTGTGAGCTGTAACCTAGTGCAATGATTATAGAAAATCAAAGATCATGTACAACCAAGTCTAAAATTATATACATTTAATATGTTTACTGATTAAATATAAATTATCCTCATTAGTGACAGAGATTTTAGATTTTGCCACCGAAGTGGCTCGTTTATTGTGCACCCCATATCCATCCTGTGGACGGAAGCGCGAGAGCATGTGGATACACAAAATTAGTGACAAAGCTTTTTAAACCATATAAAACTTACACTTGGGAGAGGAACAATATAACTACGTTTCGGTCCGTCCTGGTCACAGTTATGATTTAACAATAGTCCAGGATGTCATAAGGCTACTGAGAGCATGAAATGAGGGTGTTTGGTTAACTGGGTTTAAAGCCTATCGACTACACGAGGGTCACCACCTGTATACCACCAGGCACTTAAACTGGCTGTCGTGTAGTGTATTTGACCGACACAGTTACAAGGGTCAGGTAACTACAAAATCTTTACAGCAGCTTCCAAATTTATTCATAAGCACGTTGACGTGTAAGCAAGCGGATTGAGCAAGATACAGCTGGTGGACACTTGGCAAGCGGACTGGGCAGGATACAGCTGGTAAATATTCGGTTTAAATCTATAGGAATGCATAAAGTATGGAGCGACTTATCAATAGTGGATCAATTACATCAAGTTGAATGTACTGATATACTTGATGGTAATATTTGCATTTACTCTCAGACTTGGGTTCTTTGTGAGGCCTCCTTTGGTTTTGATTACATGGAGATGGCGAATTCCGTCATCCGAGGAGAACCTCTCCAGCTCCTCCAGGTTATGCAGCTTGAACCTGTCCCTTGATTTTTAAACTTCATAACATTTTCTGCTGTGTCAACAACTAAGTTATGAGCTAGAATTTTTGCACTTATATATTTGGAAATCGTCCGTCCAAAGCAACAAGGACTAAGGCACCAAAAGGGGGGAGAGAGAGAGAGAGAGAGAGAGAGAGAGAGAGAGAGAGAGAGAGAGAGAGAGAGAGAGAGAGAGAGAGAGAGAGGAGAGAGAGAGAGAGAGAGAGAGAGAGAGGAGAGAGAGAGAAGGCTCGTTATGCGTCAGATATAATGAGGAATGTCAAAACACTTCAATCCTGGTTTCATCCAACCCTAAAACACTATCCTATTGAAATCCTATATTAAATATTTTATCAACGTTTTTGCTAAATTAAATAATATTAACAATTTAGGAACTTCAAATTATAAACTACAACATTCAAAAAAGAGCGACATTCGTCTGATCCTTCAGTACTCACAAAAATATAATCCATCATGAAGGCGACACAGGCAATAAACTTTTATTTGCTCGCGTATTGGTTTTATTATTTGCAAGGAAGTGAATGATATATACCTCTGCACAAGTCAATAAATAGTTTTAACTGGATTTAATAATATTTCAAAGCAATACAAGCGTGTATTAAGTATGTGTGAGGATTCCTATGTGAAGTGCTAAACCCGTGTGGATTATTTACCTTAAGGAATAGGAGGTTTGATTCTGTGCCTAAGCGCGAGACGGACACCTAACTCACATTATCTGTACCCGAGATGTTAGGTGGGAGGAAAAAGTTTGAAGGAGGATGTGGGAGACGGAGGAATTATCATCTTCAAAGAATTATATGGTAATATATACCGAGAAAAAAGAGCGGAAGACATAGATTGTCCTCAGGTGATTGTACGTTTTGGGGTTATTATAATTACTCGTTATTACTACGTGTTACAATCATTATCAGATCCTGATGAACGTGTACACGCCCCCACATCACCAGGTGAATGTGTACACACCACCAGGTGAACGTGTACACGCCCCACACCACCAG